TTGAGATCTACTGTCTTAGCAGCTTTCAAGTGTACAATACAGTGTTCTTAACTATGGTCACCGTGCTGTACCGGCATTTCACTCCCATTGATCAGTGGGGTCAAGCTGTTCAGCTAATCATGAGGAGGCAAAAAATGGAAATCTGGAGGATCAGTGCCTAGCCTTGTCTTAGGTAAACAAGAGAGACATCTGTGAATCTAACTCACATGGGGAAGGGTGTTTCTTTGCAGTCAACCATTTCCCGGAACACGGAAGCAGAGATTCCCGAACCATTACTGTTTTCCAGGGGCGTGAGGCTCCGGTCAAATTCAGCCTTGCCAGGAGCACAGGTTTGCAGTGAGTCCTGGGGTGGGAGGCTGGCTGCACCCTCTGCTAGCAAACCTCAGGCATTCACCTAACCTCTTTGAGCTCTGGTCTCCTGAGGTGTAAAATGGGGACGATGATTTCCCTCTTGTAGACTATTAAGGGGATTAGATGAGATAAAGTGGCAACATAATGCCTGGCTCTTGATAGTATTCTGCAGCTCAGAAACCTTCTATTCCCCCTCCTTATATATCATATAAAATCTAGACTCCTGGGACCCCACCTACCTCTCTAAATCAATCTCCCTACTCCCTAGAAAACCCACACCCAGTCCCATCTAATACCGTCCCTCCTCTGTATCTTTTACTGTCTCATTCTCCACATCCACTCTTTCTGATTAAGCAGAGGGCTCCAGGAGAGATGGACATGGAACAGGCAGGGAGGAAGGGCTCGCTCTGTCCGGCCACACAGGATAGTCGAATCAACCCCAGCTATCCGTAAGAAGCCCACCCCCATGACCTCCTCTGCTTGCCCAGTTTTTATTCATTCTTCCTCGCTCACTTTAAGCACTACCTGTCTCCATCTCAGTTCGTAGAATCCATTGTCTGAACACCACGGAGACCATTGCCTGGTATACTCATTGACCATTTATTACGGGCTACTTTCCATTGTTGATTATCTTGCATGTGTGAATCACCATCCCCCAAATAGAGGGTAAACTCCTGGAACACAGAAACCACATCTGTGTTGCCGGGTATCTCCTACCTGCAATGTCTGGCACAGACAGTGTTTGGATGATTTGCATGTATAGTTCTACACTTTGCAAGAAAACCGTGGGTATAGGACTGCTTTAAATAGTTGTTAGGAAAAGGGATCACAGAGACACACAGATATTTCTTTCCACCCACAAAAGGAACTGGCTGCACTTAGCTCTTTGGCGTGCTGGATTACCGATAAGACACACAAACTAATAGGTGCTAGATCTATGTGTTTCTGATTCTAGTGAATCTGTATCTGAATTGCTTTCTCTGTATCTGAATGTGGCTGAAATGCCTAGGGGACAACCACTTCCTCTGGGTACCCTTTAAAGGCTCCTTGGACTTGTAGCTGTCGAGCTGCTGTTATAGGGCCTTGACTGTGGCTTTGTCTTTGACTGATCACGCCTTTCTTCTGCTCTTCTCTGGTTGTCTCACATCAATTTCTTCTCTCCCAGCATCTTATAAGCAAAGTTGACGGAAAATAGAGTTTTCTAGTACTATATTTAGTTGATTGAACCAGTATTTCTCCAAAACCTGCATTGTCCTTGAGGAGTGGGGAGGAGTAAAGAAAAAAAAAAAAAAAACCCTACTCTTTTTTTGTAGGTCAGCACCTTCTGTTTTGAGTAGCCAACTATTAACCTAATATGTTCCAATATAGTAGCTGCACTTTCCTTCTCATTTTTGGTTGCTAATATCACTGCTTCATGTCGATTCCAGTTAACCTCAATTTTTAGAAGATGTTTTCTGTCCTGAGCACTTTTTTTCCTAAGAAATTCCTATGTAATGTGTTATAGGGTTCAAAGGAAGGGATGATCCATCCAGTTAAGGGGAGGGTACTCAAGGAATTCGTGGAGGAGGAGAAATTATTGCCCTGCCTTTTTCTGGAAATTTCTGGATAAGAAAGGTTCTTTTTTTTTTTATGTATGTATGTATGTATTTATTTATTTATTTATTATTTGGTTGCACTGGGTCTTAGTTGCGGCAAGTTGGGTCCTTAGTTGTGGCATGCGAACTCTTAACTGCAGCATGCGTGTGGGATCTAGTTCCCTGACCAGGGATTGAACCCAGGCCCCCTGCATTGGGAGCATGGAGTCTTAACCACTGTGCCACCAGGGAAGTCCCAAAAAAGAGACTCATTTTAATGAAATCAGATGACTTTGAAGGTATCTGTGGGCCTTCAAAATCCTCTAGAAGACAAATAATTATTATTTATGTGTTACACTTCTCATAGTTAACATACTAGTTTTAGGTAGGTTATATTCATGTTACTGAGCTGTTTCTACGTGCTGTGTGTATACCTTATACCAGAGAAACTCTACCATATAACTTGTATAACTAAAATGTGTAGTAGGTTTATACCCATTTTATTAAAATGTTGTATGCTGAGGTGGGGTGGGAGAGTGGAGGAAAGGGGCACTGGGTTCCAGACCCAGTTCTGACATGAAGCAGCTGTACAACCTTGACCACAGGCCCTTCCTTACCCTGCCAGGGCCTCTGGGTTCCATCTGGTAAGCCTCTCCAGGTATGCTGCCCTCTCTCTCCGGGCCCGACTCTCTCCCTTGTTCCTCCCCAGATAGCTAAGACTCCTGTTTAGAAGATAAGATAAAAGACCACGAAACTCTTTTAAAAAACTGCCTAAAATGATCGGTTAGGCTGCTCTATGGCCAGGGCAGGGAGAGAGTAATGTGTGCAGGGGCAGGCGGGGAGGGCTTCACAAAGGAGAGAGTCTGAGCTGGACCCGGAGTTTGGAGGAAAGGGGTTTCGTGGTTTGTCTTTAAATTTTTCTATCTCAACAATCTGATCTCAACTCAGTAAATCAGTACTGACAGTAAAGGCCAAGAATATTTCAGTAATGTGTTGTTTGGCTAGAAATCTGATTAGATGTTCCGAACTGATGCCAAACCACAAAGAGTCCCCAGTTCTATGACACGGCTGACTCATGGATGTGAACTGACTTCCAGCCCTCCAGATGACTGTTTTTGCTTTGACAAGCTTAGGTTTTCTGCATCCATTTATTCCGGTTCCACTTTGTTTTTCCCTGCAGAGATTCTTGGGATATTTTCCATTGAATCATAGAGTTATATCATCAAGTTCCCTTGCAACATTGCTTCTATTAAATTGGAGGCCTGGACTACTAAAAATTGGTATCCTGTTGTGTTCTGTGTCACAGGATGTTTTAGCATGTGATTTCTGTCATGTTTTGAAGCCGTCCCTCTGTTGATTGTCATTCAAATCCTCACCGCTAGAGGAGTGACGGGTGATGTCAGGGGATGCTTCTCTTGTAATCTAGTTACTGTTTTACTAGTGGCCCTACATTGTCTTTATCAGCAGATCCCATGTTCCTCTTTTAAAAATTTTTCTCAGTGTTAATTTTCTTTATTCATTATAAAAATTTGGAAAATACAAAATCTCATCCAGGAGAAAATAACAATGACCCAAATTCCAACATGCAGAGTTAGTCACTGTTTGAATTCTGGTTTATTTATTCTGTCTATGCTTTTATCCTTTTCGAGTACTTCAGTAATCTTAACTTTAAAAATGCAGTTTCTCTTTATTAACAAGTTAACTACTAGATATTAGCTTTCTGTCTATTAACTTTGGGTGCTGTATTAATCAGGCTTCTCTTGCAATGCTGGATAACAAACAACCCCCAAATCTCAGTGGCTTATAATAGTAACATATACTCCGTACTCATTACGGCCAGGTTGGCTGCAATTTGAGCTTAGCTGGGTCAGCCGACTTAGGCTGGACTCCTGGCTTCATGTCTGGTCTACACATTACTATTTTCGGGCCTTGGCTGAAGGATCACCAACTACCTGGGACAGGGCAACAGAGGGTGGCTGGTGGAAACTTGCCATGCCTCTTAAGGCCTCAGCTCGAAGTTGGCGCTTTGCCATTCCACTCACATTCTGTTAATCAAATCAAGTCACTTGCCACACCTGAGGTCTGTAGGGTGGGAAGGATTCTCCTTCCATAGAGGGGCCGTGGTGTGTTAGTTTGCGAGAGCTGCCATAACAAATACCACAGACTGGGTGACTTGAACTACAGAAATTTATTGTCTCACAGTGTTCTGGGTGCTAGAAGTCTGATATCAAGGTGTCAACAGGGTTGATTTCTTCTGAGGCCTCAGTCATGTTGGATGACAGCCCACCCTAATGACTTCATTTAACCTTTAATTTCTCTTTAAAGACCCTATCTCCAAATACAGTCACATTCTGAGGTACTAGGGGTTAGGACTTCAATATATGAATTTTTTTTGGGGGGGGGTGGCAGGGACACAATTTAGACCATAATCCATGGTAAGGGTGGGAAACAAAGGAAGGATTGTAGACAAAGAATACCCTAAGCACTTAACCTCAGTGTGGCTTAGCTTTCGCACCATTAAAACAGGGATATGCAAACCTATGTTAGGGGTTTGTTGGGGATTAGATGAGAAAATGCGTGTGAAGCCCCTGGTGGTGAAAGTGGTAGAGCTGGGTGTGGTTCTACCTCAAATGGAAGAACCAAAGTAACCTTCTGGGGCCTCTCTTCCTGGTCTCTCACATGGGCGAGCTGGGAGTGCATGGAGCTTCTCAGAGTGGCCTGACTTCCACGGAAGCTGTCCGATCAGTAGACTCTTTGTGACAAAGCAAATAAGGCCTTTCGGGTACTCAGACTGTGGCCTTGGTTTTGGGGACACCATGTTTCCACCCATGAGCTATGGCTCTAGCATCCTTTCTTTACCACAGATATTTATAGAAAACCTGTTATGGCTTCTGAGGGCTGTGGGCTTCATATTGGCGTAAGGCATGTCCCTGCTCCCAAGGGACAGCAGCTGAATGCCTGTGGAAAAAATAAGTGAGCTGGGAGGTCAAAGGACAGGGTGTCCCTCGTTCTGCCTCTGTGTTCAAAGCCAACTGCCTTACACTACGTAAATCCCCTTTTGGTTTTCTCCCCTAGAATATTGTGTTAAGGAATGGCTCGGAGACCTTTGAGTCCTGGAGGAAGCCCCCTCTGCCTGTGCACACCCAGTTCTATTTCTTCAATGTCACCAATCCAGAGGAGGTCCTCAGAGGGGAGACCCCTCGGTTGGAAGAAGTGGGGCCCTACACCTACAGGTGAGTCCCGACCCCCTCCCTACCATACCAGCGAGAAAATGGAGCGACCCCCTGCTGTAGCCTGAGCCCCCGTCTCTTCCCACGAGCATCCTCTGTGTGCTGCGTGGGGGGCACATGTTCCGGCTACAGTTGTCTGAAATGCTGCTGGTGTTTGGCACACGTGTGTCAGTGGCTTTGTGGACCTGGCCAGACTCAGCCTGTTATGTTTAGAAACGCAGCTGCTTCCTCCTAAGGTGGCAGAATGTGGCTACTGAGCGACGGAGAGCTGCCCTCCACTCCCTACCCTTTTAAGGTCGTCCTGCGATTTTCTTTGGTGACTTTTAGGGTCTTTTCCTATTTCTCTCCGCCACATCCCTAGTTTTAGACCAGTTCCTAGAATTCATTGTTGGTCTGGAGACAGTACTTTCTGTCTCTTCTTTTTCTTTTTTTTTTAACTGAGGTATAGTTGACTTACAATATTGTGTTACTTTCTGCTGTACAACAAAGTGATGCAGTTATACACATGTATGTACATTCTTTTTTTATATTCTTTTCCATTATGGTTTATCCTGGGACAGTGAATATAGTTCTCTTTGCTACACAGTAGGACCTTGTTGTTTTTCTGTCTCTTCTTCACCCCTTTTCCCACTCCTCCAGAGTACAGGAGATAACCAGGTGGTAGGGTGGGTTAGAGTCTTTGGCAGTGACCATCAATTCCAAACGCTGGGGGAGTTAGTAGCATTGCTTTAATCATTTTTTGGAAAAGATTAATAGAGGGAGATGCTGGGGGATCTTATGGTCAAAGTATTTTCCCCACTGTTGCCGTATCCCCGCAACCCGCTAGGACAGTACACTGCCCCACACGCCTCTTTCCAACAAAGTTTCTCCTTACCAAGTTTAAAAAAAAAATAGTAGAGGAAGCAGACAGCGAGATCTTTCTTCTTCAGAACTGCTGCATGGTAAAAATGCCTCACAATTCTGTCGTAACCGATTGCTCAATAAATGGTCGCCCCCTGATTCATTTACTGTGCGTCAGCACTGTGTCAGCGCTGGACTGGAGAGATAAAAATCCCGATCCCTGCCTCAGGTGCTCATGGTTTGACTCTGGAGTCGAATGACCTGTTGTGAACCTCACCTCTGCCACTTACTAGTCCTCTGAGCCTCAGTTTCCTTATCTGTAAAGTGGGGATAAAAATAGGACATCCACCATGGGATTGTTATGAGGACTAAGTGAGTCAAGTATGTATAAAGTGCTTAGACTACTGCCTGGCACAGAATTAACGCTAATTAAGTGTTTGATGTTATTATTAGTCTTAGGGGATTGTCTTGGTCCCTTCTGTGGAAATCAGTACCCAGAATTGTAAAGATGAGCTTTATCATTATATAGTAGAATTTTAAAAGATAAACAACACTTGGGTCCTCATTTTCAAAAGCGTTTTTATACCTTTAAAACCTCGAGAAACTCCAGGTACTGGGTAGAACCAGGCCTGCATTTGAGTCTGTCCAGCTTCGTGACAATTAGAAGTTGAGCCAGAATTAGGCTCTGAGCGTCCTGTTTGTTTATTTTGCAGTTTTAACCATTTTTATGGTGATTAAAAAAAAAAAAAACCCACATAAGATGTACCATCTTGGGCTTCCCTGGTGACGCAGTGGTTAAGAATCCACCTGCGAATGCAGGGGACACGGGTTCAAGCCCTGGTCCGGGAAGATCCCACATGCTGCGGAGCCACTAAGCCCGTGTGCCACAACTACTGAGTCTGCGAGCCACAACTAGTGAAGCCCGCACGCCTAGAGCCTGTGCTCGGCAACAAGAGAAGCCACCGCAATGAGAAGCCTGTGCACTGCAACAAAGAGTAGCCTCCACTCTCCACAACTAGAGAAAGCCCGCGTGCAGCAGCGAAGACCCAATGCAGCCAAAAATAAAAGAATAAATAAATTAATTAATTTTAAAAAATTATTAAGAAAAAAAAGATGTACCATCTTTACCATTTTTAAGTGCAGTTCAGTAGTGTTAAATATATTCACATTGTTGGAAAACAGACCTCCAGAACTTTTTCATCTTGCAGATCTGAAACTGTATAGCCATTAAATAACTCTTCTTTTCTCCCCACCCTGGGCCCCTAAGAACCAACATTCTACTTTGTTTCTATGAATTTGATTGCTGTAGATATCTCATATAAGTGGAATCATACAGTATTTGTCTTTTTCTGGTTTTGTTTTGTAACTAAATTCCTTCCGGCGAGACGGATGACTTCCTCCCTGCAAGAATAAACTCACCTGAGAACTAAAGAAAACCCCCAACAAACAGTCTTCCCTCTGGGTCTCCTGGGCCTGTTCCTGTCATCATTATCTTCATTGAGAAAAAGACATGGGTTCTAACCATAACCTGAGGAAACCCAGTGTTCCATGAAGACATCTTCTGGGCCATTGTGTCTGCTGCCTTAATATGCTGTTGTAGATGTGGTCATGGGAATAAATAAATCCTAGAAATAAAATAGCGTCCAACTGTTACCATTACTTCCTGCATGTTCCCATCTTAGAGGGACCTAAACTGACTCCTTAGGGAAGCCTGAGAACATCTCACAAGGGTCCTTAACCCTTGATTCATGGATCCCTAAGGGGTCATGGATAGAATTCCAGGTGGTCTGTGACTTGGGGGGAAAAATTACAGTTCATTTTCACTAACCACTCACTAAAATTTAGCATTTCCTTTGAGTATAAATGTAGGCAACAGATCACAGCAGTGTTAGCAGTACCATGGCTTCACCACTAATGGAAACACAGATATCGTTGTGTCTCATGATAGCGGTTGCTCAAAATATCATTCATGTTCATAAATACTTAAAAATTACAGTAATTGTGGACTTCCCTGGTGGCGCAGTGGTTAAGAATCCGCCTGCCAGTGCAGGAGACACGGGTTCCAGCCCTGGTCCGGGAAGATCCCACATGATGCGGAGCAGCTAAGCCCGTGTGCCACAACTACTGAGCCTGTGCTCTAGAGCCCACGAGCCACAACTGCTGAGCCCATGTGCTGCAACTACTGAAGCCTGCGCGCCTAGAGCCCGTGCTCCGCAAGAGAAGCCACCTCAATGAGAAGCCCATGCACCACAACAAAGAGTAGCCCCCGCTTGCCTCAGCTAGAGAAAGCCTGTGTGCAGCAACGAAGACCCAACGCAGGCAAAAAAAAAAAAAAAAAAAATAACAGAGGCTGTTAAACCTGCTGCTACATTTTATTTAAAATGTCAGTAAAGAAACACACATATTGCCATATCACAGATTTTTACAGTGACACCTGTATTTCAGTCATTGGTTTCCTTGTAATCCTGGATATTTTATTTTCTGTATGTAAAGACATTTATCTGAGAAAGGATCTACCAGGCTGCCACAGGGCCCAAGGCACAGCGAAGGTAAGAATCCCAAGAGCAGATCCTGTAGGTTGGAAAGCAGATTGGTCACTCACTGATATTTCATTTTTGCTCCACGAGTTTTCCTGCCTCCGGTTTTCACCCTGCCCTGGTCTCTCCCATTTCACTGCCACAGTGATTTTCCAAAGCACACAGCTGACATTTCCTTTCCTTCTCTGCTCAGGGTCCTAGTGACTCTCCCTGTGTGATGTTCAAGGCCTGAGCACCCCAGCTTCTTCTGTATATATAGCCTCTTTGTTTGATTTTAATTTAATTTTTTGGCACTCTCAACCTAGAATTTTATTCTCTAACCAGAGCTAATTCTATGCTATAATCAGAACTGTCCAATAGAAATTTAATATGAGTGTCAACTTAAAAAAAACAACAACAGGGCTTCCCTGGTGGCGCAGTGATTGGGAGTCCGCCTGCCGATGCAGGGGACGCGGGTTTGTGCCCCCGTCTGGGAAGATCCCACATGCCGCGGAGCGGCTGGGCCCGTGAGCCATGGCCGCTGAGCCTGCGCGTCCGGAGCCTGAGCTCCGCGGCGGGAGAGGCCACAGCAGTGAGAGGCCCGCGTACCACACACACACACACAAAAACGTGCAACATAAGAGCTGTGAGTTGAGTTTATTCTGTGTCTTACGGAGGACTATAGCCTAAGAGACAGCCTCTCAGACAGCTCTGAGAAACTGTTCTAAAGAGGTAAGGAAGGGGAACTTCCCTGGCAGTCCAGTGGCTAAGACTCCACACTTCCAATGCAGGGGGCACGGGTTGGATCCCTGGTCAGGGAACTAAGATCACATGCCACTAGGTGCAGCAAAAAAAAAAAAAAAAAGAGGTAAGGAAGGAGTCAGAATATATATGAATTTTTTTGCAGGAAAAAGAAACGTAGTCAAAACATAAAAAGATTACTTCTAATCACAAAAACAGATATCTCAAGTTAATGATTTTAGTGCTTTTCTATGTATGGGAAGATGCAAGAATCTGAGGTCATTGAAATATTTCCTTAGGTATGTACCTTAATTATCTAGGGGCTGGTATCCAAAGCACAAAATGCTTCCTGTTTTTCTCCATCCTGAATTCCCCTCAGGCTCAGTTTTGGTAGGCAACTGCAAGAGCTAATGGCTTGATCCTATAGAGCTAAAAGGGCAAGCAACATTTTTTTGTTGTTTACAGTGCCCCACGTTGGTCATAAATTTGACCAAGGCTTGGGAAGCATTTCGTGACCAATTTGTCCCACAGCCCTAGGAATGCTTATTCCTAGGTCAGGCAAGGATCTTAGTGATAGGCCATTCATATGCTATATCTGGCTTAGGCCCTATTAACCTAAACAACCTAAAATCCTCTGGATCTTCTGTTTTACTACTCTATTATGATCCAGGAAATGTTTTCCCCTTGTTGTTTCTTCCCATATTTAAAGTTGCACCATTACAATTAACTTTATCTGTATATATGTGATACATATGTGATCATATATATATGTGTGATCAATTGCCTCAAGATACTTAGCCATCATTAATTTTGTTGGAGGCCCGGTTACACATCAGGTAATGCAGGATACAACAATCTTATAAAATAGAATATAAGTAAAATAACGAGTAACATTAATAAGAAAGT